TTTAGATGGAATTGTGATTCTTGCAAACTTACACCCCTAAGATGTCACTAAATCTACGACACCTGGTCCTTTGTCAATCCCCAGGGGGAAAGCAATGGGTTTGGCCTTGTATTGTCAGCTCTGTATTTATCTATTTATTCATTGTATATGTTATTTTATAATAGATAAAATCTGTTTAATTATTATCGCTTGTTGTAGTAGATTAATAATGATTTTAAAAACAGTACATTCCGGAAAATAATATTGTGAAATGTGAATCGAATCGTGAGTTGGCGTGTTATGCTAAAATTATCGGAATTGCAATATGCAAGAGCTGCAATATCTTTATGAAATTTTAATAATGCAGCATTATAAATGAAGTACTGGGTAGTTGCCTCATGCCCTGCGCCTCCAAACCTTCCTGTTGTTTTGCCCTACTAGGCAGCATCCCATGTGTGAATCCTTTATTCAGCATCTTGCGTACCTTTTTTTTTGTGTGTGTTTGGTGTGGATACGACCTCCTTTGGACAGCCGTGTGCGTGTGACACAGAAGACGCGTGCCATACTGCTGTGTGTGTGTTGAGCTGGAGTGAGTGTCTGTTGCTGTTGCGCGGTGAGGGTCTTAAGGGAATGCTGATGTAAGAGGCGTTGACTCCAGTTCCAAAGGTTTGTTCATATTTTTTTTTTTTTTTTTTTTTTTTCCTAAACAAAGCTTTGCTGGCCTGCATTTCCTTTAGTGTCGCTAAATGTTTTGGTGCAGCCGAGAAAATGCTGGGTTGCAAAGCTTAAAAACAAAGCTTTTTGTTGGGGCTTTTTTTTGAAAAAAAGGGGGGGTCACAATGAAACAGGCGTTTGGATGTCTGCTCCGGGGACTGCGACTAGTTGTCAGAGTTTTCCTTCCCACACTCTGATAACTGAAACTGCAGTGGGTTTAACAGTGGAGCCCATAACTTCAACTGGTCTTTTTCTTTTTCCAAGGGTGGTGGATCACCTTGCAGGGCCTATAAAACACGCACTGGACAGGCATATTTTTTTGGCCAATCTAAATCTATTTTTGGTGCTAAAGCCATATCAGAGCAGGGAGGCATTTGAGGGCCAATAAAGCGCCCTTAGGGTGTTGCTCCAATCCCTTTCACACAGAGAGCTGGGAGGCTTATCTTGTGTGCCACATCAAGTATTCCTTGTCCTGCAGGATCTTATCAAAGCCACAAGGGGTCTTGCCCAGGCTCAGTCGATAAGTGGCGGACTGATTCTGATACCTGAACTTTGCCCATTGGCTGATACCAAGTACCGATCTGATGCATGTGCATTTACAAAATAGAACAGGACACTGCTGGGAAGTGGCAGGGTCCATTTTTGGGCTAATAAATGATGTGGTATTGGATCAGTGCACAGACGCGTACTTGCTGATGCACAGTAGCGCAGTATTTGAGGAATTTCCGAATTTTCTTTGTTATCAAATAACCTGTGACATTTGAACTCTTTCCAGTTGTGCAGCGGCGGCAGATGTCATCGGTCCCTGGTGGGTCTGGGGAGAACATAGTCTACGCCTTGCTGTGCGGTGCGGCCTTTGTTGGTGGTGCGTCATATGTAAGTTATATTCAGCAGTTTGGCTTCAACACATTTGATGATGCTAACACTAAGCAAGCTCTAGAATGCTAACAATGTGTCCTCAGCAAAGGGTTCTGAAATGACGTGATTTGCAATATCGGTGAAGCTTTCTGTTTGAGAAAGGAGAAATGAACCAGATGTCAGACTTTGCCCTCTCCCCACAGGCGTACAGCACTGTGTCCGGCGACAGTGCCAGGTACAATGAACGCGTGGCAGAAATCCAGGCCAGACCCAAAACGGAGTGGACACCTAAACCATGGCCACCCAAGAGTAAGTCTTCCTCACTACCACTCGCTCATAATGTGTGAAGCTACAATAAGACTGTATTGAGCCCAATAAAGTGGGGAAATTCACTTGCTACACAAGCTCCAGATACAACACAACAAAATGAGGAAATGCACTGTGAATAAAATTGGAATAAAACAAATAAAAGATATAATAGAAAAATAAGAGTTATATGAACACTGTATAAAGCTTTTTATATACTGATATTGATATGGAACATTGCACAGCAGAAGGTAGTGGTATGGTGTAGAAATAAATATAATTGCACAGGACAAAAAAATATATACAGCAGTGTCATTTAAAGGTAATATAGGCTATAAACCCAGGGTTTGGTTCTGATAGCCGCTTTTATTTTAGATCCGCTTCTACTTTGTCTTTGTTGGCCAGCAGTGATGGCCATTTTTGCTGGTTAAAATGACAAATGGACAAATAATATCGGCTGCATTAATTAATGTTAATTCTGTAAGTAACTTACAGACTCCAAAATGAAAGTTTGTCATAGTCTACTTAATGTACTCTGTGCATTATTTTTCGATATTTGCTTACACCCCTCTGTCACGGAGCCCTAAATGTGTCCCTTACAAAGTCTTGCATAGGGAACATGGGAATTGATAAGGTTGTATCGATACCAATAATAATGAGTTCTGCTTATTTATATGTACAGTTATAGTAGTTTGAGTTTCTTTGTGAAATAAAGCCATGATTTGGACTGCTTCTTCCTCTCTGCCATGACCATTTCTTGTTCCAGCAGCACAAACAAACCAGTCCGTCAGGAAAAACATGCTAGCAGTGATAAAAGGAATCTATGAGCCCGATGGCATTTAAGATGTCTTAAATATGATTTGGACAGGTCCTAAAAATTGATCAGATGAATGAAGTTAACATTACATGAATAAAGTTTTCAATCTTGCATGTGTGTTGGGAATTTTTACAACTACTAACCGACATGGAACCAATACCCATTTTCCTTAATATCCACTGTAGTTTTTTTAAGTGTGGATGTGAAATAGTCCTTAAAGACTAAAATTGAACCTGTTTGAACCTGCAGAGAACAATATTACAATAATCTTTTGTTGCGGTATTGGAATTGAAAATGTGGAATCAAGCCATCTGTAGTTGTAGGCCGATGCTGTTCTACCATCTAGCATAGTGGTTGGCAAAGAGCAAACTGTTCTGATCTAATTACTTAGTCTCCTAAATAGCTTAATGGACATAGAAACACCAGCTCCAGACAGAAGGTAAAATCCACAGCCATATTAAATCCAATGACTCAGTAACAGACGGTAACAAATGATGATTACTACTCCCATGTGGAGGAACCAAACAATACTGTGCTTGTTCTGCACCATGGGAGGCCTAATGGCTCATCCTGTGGACAGCTCCTGGTGCTAAAATCAGGACCAACAAACATGGTGGATGAAAAATGAAACCATTTGATTAAATCAAGCAATCAATCAGTATTAAACACTTATTTATTGTTTTGTAATAGAAATGAGCATCATACATATGGTAAAGATTAAAAGCACTTCTGTCTAGTCTTTAGCTCCTGTTCTTTCTATGATTTTATTTTTTGGTTTTTATTTATGTATTTGTTTTTATTGATAGTGCAAGATATGTGATTAACATTAAGAAGGGGGAGAGGAAAAATGTTTTGTTTTAGAGAGAG